AACGGATTCCTCCGGACTGCCACTAAACTTTGAAGTGCATTTCGAAAAATTTGCCGTGGACTTCATAATAGCCGCAGCGGCGTTGGCGGTGGCGATGGATGTACTTGCGTCGGCTGACGAAAGCAATGGCGTCGACGAACGAACTTCGCGTAAAAGTTGTTGACAAAACTCTGCTTGCGATTGTTGGATTGATGTCAACAGCTTGGCAAGGACGTCTTGTGGCATCGTTATGTTGCTTGACTGTTCCGGTTCGGAGTCCTCGTGTACAGACTCGTTGGCGTCGGTATATAACGACTTGCGTCTTCGCGGCATTTTGCAAACCAATATGTACCTACTTTTCGACAAAGGTAACAAAAGTACGGCTCGTGGTTGTACCAACCAGCAAAAACCACTCGTAGACACAAAACAATAGCAAAGTCACTGTCCATACACAGTTTTTAGCACTTGTCGGTCGTTTTATACCTAACTTTTCGACATGAACGAACTTGCAACGAACGAAAAAAGTTTGATCCGCGAACAATAACACTTTGACCCCTTGTTTTATACTAAACACACGTTGGAGCGCCAGGATGTAGTCGGGGTGGGTCGGTTACAGTGAAAAGTCCTGTTACGCGGCATAAACTTTAATAAAACTATCTAAAAATTACAAGAGACACACGCACAAAACTGTAAAGTCCGCCATAACTTTTCTAATAATGTGACGGCCAATCAGCGGCCAGTAACATAACGCCACTTGGCGCGTATTTTAAAATCCTATCGCGCTGGCGAATAGCGGTCGGGCGGCTTGCCCCTATTGGACCGCTTACGACCAGGGCCGAGGAGACGTTCGGAAACGTTATCCGCTATAACCTATTACGTATTGATACAATGTTGTTTCGGGTCTGGGTGGCTTGTGTATGTGCATTTGTATGTTAGTAAACGTACCCACGACACAGTTCAGACAAAACATTCTTGCCTTGTGTTTGGTTTTATGAAAGGTTACCGAAGGTCCATCCCTGCAGCTCCTTTGCAAACACATCACTATATAGATGGTATAAAACAAAGTCGATTTGTCTGTCCCTATGTACCTAAGCTTAACTCTTAGGTAGGTAGGTAAGCAACGGATTTTGATGCGGTTTTTTAAATAGACAGAGTGACTGAAGAGGGACGTTTTTAAGTATAATAACATCCATTAAATAGTGGAGAAAATTAGAAGCAGCTTTGCACCCGTGCCTTGCCGGGGCGTGTCGCTAGGGCATTATATGACGCCAGATCAAAATATAATAGCAATCTGTTGAGCAGATATTTTAATCAGGCGCTGTTTGTATAAATTGAAAACTTAAATCGGCTCTCATCTACTGCAAAATAGGTCTAAAATACAATTGACAGGATAGTTTATATACCATTATATATACACATTTACCAGCACAGGAATAAACTTTCACAAAATATATGTTTTCGAAAGAAAATTTCTAATTATTATGCAACTTTTTTATATTATTTTCTATCTGTACTTTTACAAAAACAAACAATTTAAATTTTGACTCAAAACTACTTAATTTCATGACAATGACAATCGAATGTCAATAATAAAAATCCAATATAGGTATTGTACCTACGCATCAAAGAAAATAAATACTGTCTAGACTAGAGTATTTATGTAATGTACCTTACATTACATAAATACTCTTTGATAAAAGTATTCGTCGTAGATGGCCAAAAGAGTTTTACCATGGATAAAACTACCTATCCCAAAAAAAGCTAACGAAACTTTTTAAACTTGTTAAAGGTCCTCCTTTTTGCAATATTTCTCATACTTCCTGCGGCTTCGTAAGCTTAAAACTTTAAAGAGTGGTTGCAGAGGGCCAGGCCAGTCCAAACGTAGTGCTTACATTCTCTTTGGGTCAGTCCTCGCCTTCCACTTGACGCAGATGCTTACCGGACACGGATGTTTCAGATTCAGTGGAAGAAAACGTTCAGTTGCCTTAACTGCGAGGACCACCATGAGGACACGGGTGGAGCGTAACATGTCATTATGATTGGAGTGACCACTGATAGACCCTCGTGTCCTCAGTAATGCGATCGGTAGCAGCGTCCTGCCAGCTGCCGCTGCAAAAATTTTGGAAGTGTGCTAGGTGTCATCATCATCATCAGCCTATAGGTGCCCACTGCTGAGCAAAGGCCTCTTCTCACACGGAGAAGGTTAGAGCATTGATCACCACACTTGCTCAATGCGGGTTGGCGATTTCAAACTTAGGTATAATTAGAAATTATATGTTTCCTCACGATGTTTACCTTCACCGTATGTCAGTGGCGTCTAAATAATCTAAATAGACATATAACTCTGAAAAAGTCACATTGGTACTTGCCAGGTTTCGAACCCACACCCTCATGCATGATAAGCGGGCTCCTTAACCTCCGCCTCCGGGCCACCACGACATTAAAAAAAATTACCTTGAGGAAAATAGCTTAGTACAGTTTCAAATATTTCTCTCTTTCCATGATCGGGGAGCTGGATGACAGTAGGTATGCAGATTAAGAAACATTTCTAAGTGAAACAAGTTTTATTGAGACGCATCTTCATCATATAATTGTAGGAGAGCCATATGCTTCAGCATTAATGGGCCCCCTCGACCGAAGTGACACCATGACCTCATAGAAAACCGTTGTGAAGCGAGACTTATGTTGCATTTCGCCGTGTGAGTGAGGTTTGATAATTGGTATGACAATTTAAAAAAAAATTGTAACTATGGATTTTCTTGCTCGTTCTTCTCCATTCGAATCTACAATTTCGAATGAGCACCTAGCTTCACTGAACTGACAGACTACTTTTCTATTTTGATGAGATTGGGGGCCGGCCTATCCTTAAATCCCAACGCACCACAACGCAAACGCAACGCACGTGTGCACTAATAACAAGTGTCCATGGGCGGCGCTGATTGCTTACCATCAGGAAATATTCTTCAGTCTTAATTAATATTATTAGCACCTTTTACTTATACTATTTTATATAATAAGACCCGAGCAAGAGAAGGAACGAGATGATTTTTAGTCAGAATGAGTTTGACACTTCCCCTCGCCCCAGGGAGAAGTCAATTGATTAATTCCCCCGTCAAAAATCTCTACTATAACAATTACTTACCTATATCTATCTATACACAGTAGGTATGCAACTATAAAATCCTTTGTTTGTAATAAACTCAATATTTTGTTTTTTCTTTCATACAGTACCTACGGCCGACGACGTATCTTGGCGTGTCTGAAGTTAGCCGTTTGTCTGCGCAATGGATCTTTTAGGAACAAAATTGTGTACTGAGCAGCTAAGTAATCGGCTGACTTCAGACTCGCCAAGATATTGTATATGTCGGCGGTATTGTAGTTTAGCTATTGAGGAGCATCATGCTACACCCAATAGGAGCTGAGCAGCAGGTGGGATTTTTGCTAGCAAAACATAGACAAATGTCTTAATTTTATGACAAAAAAGAATATAATATCTTACTGTCTCAATTTATTTATTTTAATACCATTTAATCTTTTGATTATCACAAACTCTGCATCCCATTACTTGTTAACTTTCAATACAATATTTTTACACAATTTTATATTCAATTTATTGAAAATAACAAATTACTCACATGATTAACTGAGAAAAGCTCTACAAGTTTGAATTCTCAATGGCATGCATGCTGCTCATGATTAAGAGACCAATTGTGGCTTGAAACTTGGATCGAATTTAGAGATCGGATTGAAATTAAGATCAGCATTGCAACCCTGCAAGGGGGTCAGTCTCAAGTAATATTGTAAATGTGATAGTTTGTGAGCAGTAGGTGTTATTTTTGTAAATCCTTCACATAAAAATTATTGAATTAAATTTATAATAAGTGATCTGCAATAGATTTAGGAAAACAAACTATTATGTAATTGAAATTATATGTAATTATGTTAATGCTATAACATGTACTTTCTGGTGTAAGCTTTGTTGGTTGTCCTTAAATAAATAAATACATTTAGAAACCCGAAAAAAAAAATAAAAAAAAAATATTGGACAAGTAATAAAAATTTTGGAATAATGGTAAAGTTTGAAGCTGTGTCCCGTCCAGAGATAGTTTGCCAGGTCAGCTAGTTTTATTAAAACTTTCAATTGTGGTAATAAGACACATTAGTAATACAATAGGTGTATGAATGCTGCACATGGAAATGTATTCACTTTGGCTTCGATGAATTATCCCCTGGAATGCAGGAACATATATCTAAGTGAGACTTACAGAGATTGTATTTTGTACATAATTATGATACGAGCTATCATGTCATACTTATTGGGCAATGAGAGTTTAATTCAATCATCAAACCAGCTCAATCTATACTTCTATACTAATTTAAATCTCTAATAAAGAGGTAAAATTTTTAAGTTTGTTTGTAGGGGGTATATCTTTAAAAACCGCTGGTTGAATTGCCAAAATTCTTTCACCGTTAGATAGCTACAATGTTCCTGAGTGCTATAGGCTATAAAACATCACGCTATGATCAAATGGAGCCGAACAGCGGCGGGTGAAACCGCGAGAGAGTAACTTGTAGCAATATAATATTGTATTTTCAACTAATTTACACACGAGTTTCATGGTAAAATAAAAACATGAAGTGTGAGGAAACAGATTTTTTGTTGCAGGTTAACCTAATAAAAGTGTTTTATGCAGATCAAGGCTTTTATTCTCCAAAGAGGTGAGATATACACTTAAAAATATAATACAGACTTTTTACAAGATAAATGTGAATAAAATGAGTTTTGTTTAGTTTTGGTCATGAGTATAATATGACTAGCATTCCCAATTCATCAAATAGAATGAGGTTTCACGAGTTTAGTGGAAATATAAAGAGGAATGTAAAGAATAACTAACAATTCACCAAAGACATGTTTTCAGAATAATATTCCCTAGAAGTTATTGACAAGACTTGTGAGATGTTATGAACTCTAACTTTAGTCACTTGGTATTAAAACAAAAGTAAGAATATAAAATTTATATGGCCAGAGACGTTGATGAAGAAATAAAACGCTTTCATACCTTAAATAGCAAATGTAATCACAAATTTAGAACTTAAAACTAGGGAACACTTAACGCCTTCCACGTCCACGACCACCACGACCTCCTCTTGGTCCTCCGCGACCACCACGACCTCTTCCTCGCCCTCCTCTCGCGCTACCACCGCCTCTTGGGAATCCTTCCCTCTTTCCACGTCCTTTCGGCGTATCATCGATAAGTAGCGTCTCCAAAGGCAAGCTATCAGGCAGCAAGTAATACCTAATATTGTTCCCGCGAATACTCAATGTCTCTAGCTGAAGTTCTTCCTTGTTTTTTAACGTAACTTTAACAGCTTTCAAGTGTGTGTTCATAGCAACATCGACTCCGGTTATCGTTCCGTGCACAACACTCCCGTTCTTCAGTTCGATTGTGACCGTCTCGTGGCTCAGTTTCATTAAAAACCTAACGAGTTTCATTTTTGTTGATTTATTAACTTTTTATATTGAAAAACAGAAGCGGCGTCGGTTAAATAGATAACCTAAAAATCTAACCAAACAAAATAACTATGGCGGCTGTCTTTTGGAGTTTTTACAATGTTGCCTAACGCAAAAAATACAACCACCATCACCATTCACCATTTACCATTAATTACTAAAACACATAAATATTAAATAAGTACGGTTGAGTATCTTATCTAAAAATATTAAATCAAATGACTTCAAAATATTATTTTAGTGATATTAATTATTGTCAGATTTAATATGAGCTTTTAGTTCAAAATCTAATAATACTTTTTTTGACTATGCTTAGTTCTAATGACGAATGCTAGATGATTAAAAAAGTAGTTTTACAAATTGTCATCAGTTTCTAAAGTGAAAAGTGAGGCCCATTTCTATTTTGATCAAGAGTAATTAAAAACACCAGCATCTAACAATGATTAATCCCGATGAGAGTGTCAACGATGATACGACTATGGACTCCTATTTGGCCGACATCAAAGAAGAAGAAAAAGAAAAGCCTAAAGAAAAGACTGTTAGCGCTAGATTATTACTAACTGAAGAACAGGTAGGTAACCTACCTTACCTATACCTATTCGTAAAGATACGGCAGTGTATAACTGAACGAATAATGAATTTGTAGGGGAAAGATTTAAGATATTGCTTATAAAAAACTTACCATAATTATTAATTTACCACAATATAAGATTCAGCTTACGCTCGAACTCGTTTTTTCCATGTCCCTGTGTGTGTTATTTTTATTATTGCACTTGGCAACACTACCTTACCCTACGATTCGGAAGGCCCGCTAAGGGTAAAATATGGTTCAAAATCCTTACCTACCAATTTTACGACATAATTACGTAGGTAGGTACATAAAGGGTTAGCAACGGATTATTTAATCAATGCAAGTAATAACTCAAAGCCGTATAGATTAGTATCGCTCGAAAATGGAAGTTAGTACATTATCGGGAACTGCTGAATTTTCTGAAGACGAAATTAATGATGTTTTGCATCCACCTTTCGTGAAAGAACTTGAAGCGAAATTTTCTTTTACATCCAGTCAGGTATGTAGGGATTACTATCGATTACTATGGTCTGTCGGTTTAGATGGTTAACTAAAAGTCTTTTTATCTAAAATATGTATATAAAATTGATTAACAATCAGGTTTAAATAATCTTTGTATGTATTTTATACGATCTCTTTAATATAATACATACCAAGACATACCAAGATTGTTTGAATATCGAATCTAAACCGATAGACCTTAGTTATAGGTCATCGTCCTCGAATAGAATGAAAAATACTTATAGGTATATTTTTAGCCAATTTCCAGTAGGTAAAAATATTCAAGGTTTCAGCTTGCAGCTGTAACGTTATCGATATTTAATTTTATAATTTTTTTTTCAGGAACGCGACTTGTTGGAGGCTTTTAACTTGCTGGACTACACTGGCGAGGGCAAGATCTTGGCGGAAGATTTTCGTGTCGCCATCAAAGCCTTAGGTAATAGCCGTGGTTGTACGGGTCAAGCACGATAAGGTAACGCGATTGCGGCTTGGAGCATGAGAAGGAACGGGGTTTTTTAGTCAATAAGAGTCTTCACACTCTATCTCGCCAAACCCTGAGTGAGAGAAGTGATGTGATGAAATTCCACCCTCAAAGTTTGGAGGTGAAATTTCAATTTCAGGAAAAAAAAATCATACTGTTTGTTTGATGCAAACAAAAATCAAAAGGCTGTTTATGAATTTTTCTTTGAGAGGGTAAGAAGAGGTTAAAGTAGCCTAATGGCTGTGGGACTTACATATGCTGGCTGAAACGTTCCTTGTTCCTTATCCTGCTCCGAGCGAGACTTCAGTATATCATTGCGCTTCAACGCCGGTATTTTTTTTATGTGATAGGACGGCAAACGAACAAGCAGATTACCTGATGGTAAGCAATCAGCGCCGCACATCAACACCCGCCACAACAATGGAGTTACGAGTGTGATACCGGCCTTTTAGGGATTTCAACACTGCTGAGCAAAGACATCTTCCCAAACGAAGATTTCCACTCATAAAAAAAAACTAGTTCGGATTTTCATAAAGTCTGAACAGGTATCACTCCGGTCCAGTTGGCCCATTCGAACCACGGATCTCCTGCATTTGAATGTCATGTTATAATTACAGGATATGAACCTACAAAGGAAGAGCTGCAGAAGATGGTTAACGGAGTTGACAAAGGGAACACAGGGAAACTCAGTTTTGAGAACTTCCAAACGGCCATTATGAGGAAAATTATGTCCCTTGATAATGACGGGGATATTATGAAAAGCTTTCGTCTGTATGATATGGATGATACAGGTATGTCGCTCTTTATGGTGTAAGTCGACTAACAGATGGATTACCTGATGGTAAGCAATCGGTTTCGCCCATGGCCACCCATGACGCTGTTTGTAAAACGAAAATTTTTTTACTAACTTTCATAATTTACATAACATATAATTACGCCCTGTGCAACCAGGTTGAAACGTCAAGCCTACCATGGTATTTCAATAAATATGTTTATTTATTATTTACCCACGTAATTGAATATTTTTTATATAAAAAGAGAGTTAAACAAACTCCATTGTTCGATAGAGTTTTAGAGTTTCAGTGACTTTGGAGCGAGCAAAAGTATCTACCTGTTTATGGTTTAGTATGAATGTATGATTTTGAGTTTGACTTTGCGGTAATATAATACACACTTCCACCTTGAGCAAGTTTTAAAATCAAACAACATTCAAGATATTTTGAACGTGTTCTTCCAAGAAAGTTGAAATTAAATAAATCAATTTTAGCGAAATATCTCTGTCATTATCGATCTTATTAATCTCGGTTTTACCTGCCTGAAGTACCCTCACTATCCTAAAATGTCACTCTTAATATAAAACAAGGTCGGTTTCTCTGCCCCTATATGTATGCTTAAATCTTTAAAACTACGCATCGGATTTTGATGTGGTTTTCATAATAGTTACTGCTTGTAGCGCAAGGTTTATGATTTATAAATTATGAATAATAGCATTCATTAAATAGTAGAGAAATTTTGTATCAGCACTGCAACCGTGCGAAGCCGGGGCGGGTTGCTCGTACAAAAAAAGTCATCACTTTTTCTTGTCTTCCAGGTTTAATAAGTTTCGATAATCTTAAGACAGTTACCCATATACTAGATATTCCGCAAACGGATGAAGAAATCGAGGAAATGATCGATGACGCCGACGTGGATATGAATGGCTTTGTAAGTTTTATATTTATGTTATAGGACGGCAAACGAGCTAGATTCCTGATGGTAAGCAATCAATGCTGCCTATGGACTCCCGCAACAACAGAAGAGTTACCATTACGTTGCCGATCTTTTGGGGTTAAGGGATTTGAAGATTTTGGGATTGAGGAGATAAAGGATAACCTCAAGCACATGGTGAAACACAACGCTGTGGTTGTTTCAGGCCGGTTTTCTGTGAGGCCATGTCGGGCCGACCAATTCGTGCCGAAGCGTGGCTCTCCCACACTTAAATGTAATTAAAAATATATTTAAGCGTTATTAATATTATTTTTATCGTGATTCTAGGTATCAGTGGACGAGTTCATGAAGATTATTAAAAATTCCGTCCGTATAGTAACACCTTGAAAGTTTTGTTCTAATTCTACCCAAAAATTGGTCAATAATATTGTTATGGCAATACAGAAAAAGATCGAGAAGTAACGAAGAAAATATTGAACGGTTTTTATTATGTTTTAATATAATATAGATTAAAATTATGTATAATTTATTTTTACTCTTGTAGTGTGTAATTATGATTATTATTTAACACATGCATGTTGAACTAATAAAATAGTTTCGAAGGAAATTATATTTTTTTCGTTTAGAAGTAATGTACAAACAATATTCTTTGTCAAGAAATCATAAATAATAATCTCAAAATATTTTGGACTAAAAATGCTTATCCAGTAAATTTCCCTGGTAAATCCCTGGTAAATTTTATTTTTTCAAGATTTCAACTGTTTCCTAGCCGACACCATTCGTATTCGTGCCACGATTAGTATCGCTTGCCCAAAAAATTAAAAAGCTAGTACTTTTCTATGGTAAAATAAATCGTCCAAAAAATCATATTTTCATCGTCGAACTCAAGTATTGATAATAATTTTAATTCGCAATTGTGTTTTGTAAATCTTTTTTTAATTCATTTAACACGTGTAACGAAACGTATACCATGTTCACATTAGTACACTGGTTTTTGGCATAAAGGACTTTTACCCATTCGACAAACTCCAAAAAAAAAAAAGTACACTGGTTTGACTATTTGACACAATTGACAGTTACTGTTTCAAAATAGTTTGAATACTTGTTTTGATTGTTAATTTCATTGAAGAAAATTTTTTTCAAACAGAAAACAAGTTGGGAATCCTTTTATTTAATTGAAATAGTTAAATTTACAGGACAAATAGTACAATTTACCTGCAACAATATATTTTCCATAGTGTTAAAGCAATAGAATGGGTAAGTTAAATCCTTAGAAAAAAACAGTGTTGTTTGTATTACTAGTGCAGTACGGTATTAATTTCCTTTAAAAAATCTTATTTTACAGATTCAGCGGACTTAGAACTTGAAACTAAATGCGAGAATGCGTTGAACTTAGTTGCAGAATCACGAAAACGCTTTGGCAAACTATGCATTGAATACGACCAGAAAATGTTGTTAATGGAAAACAAATTACTTAATTTACAAGTCGAAACGGTTTCTAACTATCGCTTCAAACCTAAAAACACGATTCCAGACATCGACGAAAACGGCAGTAAGGAACTGGACGATTTATTTGTTGAAATAAGTGAAAAAGAGCAAAGGTTACAGGATGTAATGAGAAAATTGAAGAATACACATGAAGTTATCATGCAGTTAGATGCTGATGTCATCGGAAAGAAATTACGTGCTCCACTAAATGCCGACACCATGTTGGCTCAAGCTAAAGCTAGTAAACTTTTAAAACCATAGCCATTTTTTGTGTAGATGGTAATGTTGTTATTCAGCCTCATACTAATTTACTCTTGGATATACAAACTCAAAGCTGTAAATAGCCTAAAAGTATATTTAATTAGTTTTTAATTCTAAAATTCTACTATATTTTGTTACCCAATTCGTACTTTCCGGTTAAACTAAGTACAGGAGTAGTCCTTTTAAATACATATTTTTGAACTGATTAGGTTTTGTATCACATCATCATCATCAGCCTATAACTGCCCACTACTGATTAAGCTCTCTTCTCACACGGTAAAGGTTTGGGCATTAATCACCACGCTTGCTCAAGCCAGAATGGCCATTCAAAGTTCTAATTCTTACTACCACTTATAACATTCTCACTAATTAGTGATGATTCTATAATTAATCTAACAATCAATGCTACTAATTATAAAGCTGAAGATTTGGTTTGAGTGCACCAATCTCAAGAACTGCTGGTTCGAATTGAAAAATCTTTTGGTTTTGTGTAGCCTATTCATCAAGGAAGGCTATGGGCTATAAAACATTACACTAAAACTATAGGAACTGAGCAGCCTGTGAAACCAACGCTGAATAACTAGTAACCAATCAAATAAAATCAAGATATTTTTATTATAACTTTCGTGAGACATTCCAAATTAATTATTATGTTTTCGGCTTACTCACGTAATAATTTGACGAGATACTGGACTGTACAGATACCGAGACAGTCGCCGAGTCGCGTGTCGCGGAATGCTGCTCGTGAATATGGGCCTCTAGCATGAATTGAAACTAGTCGAGTATCTCGTCAAATTATTACGTGAGTAAGCCGAAAACATAATAATTAATTTAGAATGTCTCACGAAATTTATAATAAAAATATCTTGATTTTATTTGATTGGTTACTATACTACTATTCTGTGGTTTCACGGGCTGCTCTGTTCCTAATCAAACTTAGTCTTAGTGTAATGTTTTATAGCCCGTAGCCTTCCTGAATTTTTTTGAAAAGGATGTGGCCCTCTCTCTACCTAACTAACTCTTAAAATTTTTGTCTTATGGTTTGGATAACCTTGAAAATATTCAAACTCATATACATACCATAACTATTATACAAAACAACAACTTTTGGATCACACAACAATTTGTTGACTGCACCTGCACCATGGAATCTAGATGGGTCTGGATAGATCTGGTTAAACCAAGAGCATAAAAATATATTTGTGAATAGATTATAATATAGCATTATTTGTATTTACAATACCGCCGACGTATCTTGGCGAGTCTGAACTGAAGTTATCCGATTAGCTGTGCAGTACACAATTTTGTTCCTAAAAGATCCATTGCGCAGACAAACGGCTAACTTCAGACTCGCCATGATATGGCGGTCGTACTGTATGTTATAGCAAAATTAATTAATTAAAATATTATTATATTGTGATTTGTATTTCATTTTACTTTTTAATTCCCAAGAGACGAAACTTGTCCCTTTAACCATCCAAATCATTCAGAGCCACCCGCCACCTACTCCGCACGTACTCGTCTCATGCAGCTAGTATTCTCTATAATCAAATGCCCTTACAAGACCATATTATGGTCTTGTTAGGGCATGAGTTCACTACCTACATCAACTCCCGTAAAATAGCGAAGACTGCCTCGGTTATAAGCTTAGCAAATGCGGACGGCGGGTGGACCACTCAGTGGCAACTCGCTACTCGAATTCTTGCCTTGCGTTGCGTAGACTAAACGTTGCTCGTTCACGCGCTGCTTTAGTGCCAATTATTAACAGGCTAATTAGTGATGACGCGACGTCCAAGTCCACCCATGGACTACCAGTCGCTGCAATGAGTAACCGCGAGAGGGAGTTCCGGGTGGCTCACATGAGCTGAGACCCTTAGTTTGGAGTAAATAAGAATGTAGGTGGGTACTCAACAGTCCTTAGATAGAATACTTCACAGACACCTGTAATTCAATTTAAATGCAATAGCATAGGTAGGAAAATATGAAATACTAGCTACTCTCGCGCGGTTTCACCCGCTGCTCGGCTCCTTTTAATCGTAGAGTGATGTTTGGATGGCCTATAGTACTCAGGAACATTGTAGCTATCTATCAGTGAAAGAATTTTGGCAATCCGACCAATGCAACGGTTCCAAAGATTACCCCCTACATACGAACTTACAAATTTTACCTCTTTATAATATTAGTATAGAACTCAGATCAAGTAAAAAAAGGATAGAATGTATGTAGGTACCTACGCTCGTGGCAAAAGGCCTAAATTCTTCGAGAAACATTTACACGAAATATGTATTTTTATTAAGCAATATTCTTGATATCTGTACTTTTAAAAGAAGTTTATTAAATAGAGCGATTGTTAATAAAATTTAAGTTTTTTTATTTAGGTTTCATCTAAAATCTATGCATGTAACGAAACGTATTTTCAAAAGTATTGATTTTTAAATTTGACATTTCAGTTGCAAAATATTTGGACGAGTTGGTTCTTCATAAATTAAACGAAAAAGTGAAATTTATCAAGGAATACCGATTAAGTTACCTCTATAAATCGTTTTTAAAACTTGTGTGAAAAGAAAACCAAAGAAATGGGTAAGTTACAATAGATAACTAAAGCATTAAGAAGTTATATACCTACTTATTGCGACGCATTTCGCACTCCTGGAGATTTTGAATTCCACCCACCCACAGGAACTGAATATTTTATCAAACAAAGAAAGAAAAATAATGTATGCATTATATTTCTTTTTCTTGTAAGGGGAAAATCATTAAATGACTTCTCCCGCCCAGGGTCGGGCGAGACGGAGTGTCAGACTCTTACTGACTGACCCCCCCCCCCCCTGTTCCTTCTCCAGCTCTAGGCCGAGCGCGTTACCCCACAACCCCGTCTGCCGATGCAGTATACTGTCTACCTTTTATTTCATATAGAGATCAGCGATAGACATTTTTGGTCTCTCGTCATATTAATTTTGTCTAGATGGTCGGGTCCATTCCATTTACCTTGCAATTGACTGTCCCGGTCTGTCTTTTTTCGCGTCGATGTGTCTGAGTGTTGAATGTGTTGATTATACGAATTAGAGCAAGATGTAGGTAGTTCAACATGATTGTCTTTTGCCGGGATTCTTAACTTAAATATCTCCTTTCTCTAACAAGCCTAGACATTAATGTTTACTTATGCTTTACACTTTAATTCTTACAGCATCTATCTCTATATGTAAAAGAAATTTGTGTTAGTTATTATTAATTTATAAGTCAAGAATGGCCGATTAGGTTGAAAATTGTTAGGGAAGTAGCTAAGAACTGGGCCAAGGACACAGGAGAGAGTAGGTAGGGTAGGCAGAGTAGAGTATACTAATATATAAATAAAATAAAAAATAAAAAAAAAAAGGCCTTATATTTCCCAGTTTAAAAACCAAAAAAAATATTACATTTACAAACAAATTTTTACATTAATTTTATTAAGGAACCCCTGAGGTGAAGGCCTCCTCCAGAGACTGCCATTTTTCTCGATCTTTTGCTGTATCTAGCCAGCGTACTCCAGCCGCACGCAGGATGTCGTCCTCCCATCGTGCGTGCGGTCTTCCTCTTTTTCTTTTTCCTATCGGTCCTTTCCATGTTGTTATTAGTTTTGTCCATCTATTGTCCTGCAACCTTGCTACATGTCCTGCCCATTTCCACTTGAGTCTA